CGGGAGCCCCCGAGCGGGGAAGTTGCCGGTCCGAAGAGTTTCCTGCCCCGACGTGTGGGCTCTTTCCCGCTGCCTTGGTTTCCAAAAAGACGCCCGAAAGGAACAGAGTTCGTATTGTTCACGGAGGACAGGATCCCCGCCGTTCGGGCGCGGGGGAGAGGGTGCTGATCCAGGGGACACCCCAAGATGAGAAACAGGCTCCTAACAAAGATACCCTCCCCCACAAACTGTGCAGGCTTGGCACTGGCAGTGAGCGTCTCCGGAGACCCCCCCCGAGGCCCGACTCCTCCTCACCCCGGCCCTCTTTGAAACCCTCCTTGGGTCCTGGAGAAGTTGGGGGACGGCGGGCTTTTATTGATGTGTTCTTAAGGTTCGCAGCGGTGCAGCCAATAAAAGGTTTATGACATCTGACCAGCAGTGAAGGTATGCGAGCTCCCAATTGCCCTGTATGCAGGGAGAAGAGCAGTTTCCCCGTTGCTTGGCAACGCCGCTGATTGACACAGGATGCAGCCAATCGCCGCTCCCGCAGGTCCCCTTGAAATGTTTTTGACAAGTACAGTAGATGCTAGTGGAGCGCGTGCGTGTGCGCGCGTGCGCGTCGGAGAAAGGGGAGGGGTGGGGGTTGTTTAGCCCCCTCCCAACTCGCTGCTCTGTTAGGCTTGGGGAGGATTTCTCAACTTTTTAAAGTTCACTTCGAACATCTGTTCAGAGCTGGGCCAGTAATGGTTTTGTCAGTTATTTGGAGACATTCTGAGAGAGGGCAAGAAACTAGCTTTCCTGCTACCTTTTCTCCGTTGGAAAACAAAAAAGATAACGAAACACAAGTCATTAAAGAAAAAGAGAGAGAGAAAGAGAGAGAGAGAGAGAGAGAGAGAGAGAGAGTGTGTGTTAGTTGTGGGAATGCAACCAATAGCAAACTGAGAAGTTGTAAGGGGGTCACTAGTGAATAACTATTAGAGTATATGATGTAGCAACCTTTTTGGCAGCAGATTCAAAATGTTTGTCTAACTGCAGATTCACATGATCCCAGATTCCCGCTCCACCCCCCACCCCCCCAAATTGGGGGAAAAAAAGATTTGGCCTATTATGTAGTTTGAGTATAATAATGGAAAACTCAGCTGTGGTTTCTGGAAACTTTTTAAAAATGGAACTGGAGTGATCAGCAGCTCTTGATATTGTGGCTATAGAATTCGGGTTTATAGGGATGCCTTAACAGTTGGAGGGCATGGGCGGGGGAGAGACAAAAACAGGCAAATGATCCAAGGGAACTGAACCCCATAACCCTGTTTTCTTAACAGTTTTTCTAAGAAAACCATATTGCTGGCAATGTTTGCTTAAAACAAAAGGAAGCAGGGAGAATAGCATGTTAGTTCCTTTGGGAAGCTACTGACAAACTAAAAAGAAAGAGAGCAGCATGTTGTCATAGCAACAATGCAATTAAATTACTGTCAGCCATGATATAATTTTCCTGTTTGGAAGCTCAGGAGACGAAAAACTTTCGTCTACAGCTAAAGTTGACTTCAGTGGCTGGGTAGTAGTTCTCTTACGTACTCTACTGTGTGGATAATCCTAGTTATCCAAAAATTCGTTTTTTTATTGGGATCTGAGGAAACTTTGAGAGAGACAAACCTAGTTTTGATTGTTTTATAAAGAAGGTAAAAGCATTATCAGTCTGGTCTCTGTAAACCCCCAAGCCTCAAGATACTAGCTTATTCTTTAAAATGTGTCATGTGCTACTCAGGTTAGTACTAGTACATGACAGAAATAATAACATGGATGAACCTAAGAGGTATGCAAACTGCCCTGTTCCATGGGACTTCGATGCCCGTAGAAGTTTCTTTGGAATTGGTCATCTCACAGCAGTTCTAGAGAGTTCTCCGCAGGCCTTCAATCAGCAGGTTCTGTTTGTCCACCTTTTGGAAGAGGGAGGGTGCACCCGGGGTTGGCTCTGGGGCACCTGGGGTTGGCTGTGTAGTGCTTTCTAGAATCCCATTTTCCCAACTGAACTGGCAGTTGTTTTAGGCGTAGTGTCAGTGGACGTTTCGAGCCGTAGAGTAATCATATTCTTTGCTTTTGATGTATTCATTCTTTTTTTTTTTTTCTGGATAGATTGCTTGATCTTTTCACTTGTGGGGGGAAAACATAGAACAGACACATTGTTTGAGCGCTCCAGACGGGGAGTGAGAGACCTCTCTTCATTATCTTTGCTGTTCTTTATATCTTACATTGAGTGCCAGGGGGTCGGACAGCTTTGTATCTGCCGGGGTCATTCTATTTGTGGACGCGCCACCTCTTCAGTTTCTTTTCTCATCAGATATTTTACTCCCTGTTCTAGGTCATTGACAAAAATGGGGGCGGCAGCAGAAGAGAATTCTGTAGCAATTTTTGTTGAATTTGCCTTTCTTTCTTGAAGCCGCCCTTTTGCTCCCCTACTTTTTTCACCAATCCCAATTTCAGTTAATGGCTTGTCTTTCATATTCCCATTTGTGTGTGTGGTGCCTGCACTCCTCACTTTTTCATTCAGAATGTAGTGTCCCAATTAAATTAAATGCATTTATTGCTCTAGTTCGAATCCAGAATTCAAATGTAATTAAAGCTAAATGTAATTAAGTGTTTGATCACGACTTGTGGAGGGGAGGGAAGAAATCAAATAAAACTTATTAAACTGATGCATACTGTGGCCACAGTTTTAATTCGGGGGTCGTTGTGATGGATGGTCCTTGTATGGAAACTCTGAAAACACTGGCCTTAAACTTAGAGGCATTTTCTTTTTTTGAGAATGGTTAACAGTGAGTCCTATGCCCCCAAGCTACAGAGAGGGGTTGTGCATTGAGCTTATTAGGTAGAGTTTAATCACGAGGCTTGAAATATTTTTACTTGTGTATATGTGTTCATGTGTAATAGATGAACTGAGGCAGCAAGAAATAACTGATTTTCCCAGGGTCCTACTGAGAGTGTTCGTAGATCCAGGGAGAAGGCATTGTGGACTTTCCCATTCTTTTTACGGTGCGTTTGCACATTAAAGGTGCTGGAGATATTTCCAGTGTTGATGTGTTGAGGGTTGACAGTCTCTGCGCTGTATGCACGATAGACGGATTTTACTTCCTGTGCATCTCTGTGTGGTAGAATTGTGGGTTTGCATTCCTTGGGGTAGAAGCCATGAGGTGTGTTCCTGTGTGGAAGGGGGTTCATAGAGGGGGCCGCGGTGGGGGTGCGGGTGGGGACCAAAGCAGTAGGAGGATTCAGCTGCCTTTCCGGTTTGGGTTTCACTGACTCTTCTTCTCTGTGGAATGTGTTTCCCAGGAGCCTTCACCTAAATGGGTCCAGTCATGCCTCCCAGTAAGAAGCCAGAAAGCTCAGGAATTAGCGTCTCCCGTGGGCTGAGTCAGTGTTACCGGGGCAGCGGCTTCTCCAAGGCCCTTCAGGAAGACGATGACCTCGACTTTTCTCTGCCCGACATCCGATTAGAAGAGGGGGCCATGGAAGATGAGGAGCTGACCAACCTGAACTGGCTGCACGAGAGCAAGAACTTGCTGAAGAGCTTCGGGGAGTCGGTGCTCCGGAGCGTCAGCCCCGTCCAGGACCTGGACGATGACACGCCCCCGTCGCCCGCCCACTCTGACATGCCCTACGATGCCAGGCAGAACCCCAACTGCAAGCCCCCCTACTCCTTTAGCTGCCTCATATTTATGGCCATCGAGGACTCTCCGACCAAGCGCCTGCCAGTAAAGGATATCTACAACTGGATCTTGGAACATTTCCCGTATTTTGCAAATGCACCTACTGGGTGGAAAAACTCCGTGAGACACAATTTGTCGCTGAATAAGTGTTTTAAGAAGGTGGACAAAGAGAGGAGTCAGGTAAGTCTCCGTGGCTGGAACTTGAGCGTTTCCTTTTTCTTTCTAAAATTTTTAGTTTCTCTCCATTAACAAATTGTTAAGGACTGTAAAGTCCCCACACGGAAGGGGCATTTATAAATGGATACTTTTGATTTCATTCATTTACTTGTAAACGTCCCCTTCCTTAAGCATATTAATTAAATACTGTTTTTCGTGTTTGTGCTGACTTGAGGTTTTCCCACTGTGGCATCTGAACATAATCACAAAACAGTGGTGTGCAGTACACTGCCTGCTTCTTCCCTCAGTGTGGATGGGTCAGTTTGGGTTTACAGCACAAAGTGGCAGCCGTTAACCATGAGGTGTATGAATACATTTTTGAGGAAAATTGCCAGAAAGGGATAGGGAAAAAGGCATCAATTTTCTTTCTGAATTTGAACTTGGAGAAGGGCAGTCTCTCTGGGACCCTGGAGCACACGGACAGCAATAGACATTGGGAGGCATCATATTTGAGCATATTATGCACTAAACAAAGGCAGACATGAATTGCCCAGGTGACTTTTTGTTTTGTTTTGTTAATTCTCACCAGAGGATATTTTTAGAGAGAGTGGAAGGGAGGTGGAGACACAGAGAGAGAAACATCTATGTGTCTCTCAAATCGATTGGCTGCCTCGGGCACGTGGGGCCGGGGATCGAGCCTGCAATCGAGGTGTGTGTCCTTGACCGGAATTGAACCCGAGCGCCAAGGACTGATGCTCTATCCACGGAGCCAACCAGCTAGGGCCCAGGTGACTTTTGAAATCCGGTGTTTACCTAAGTGTTTGGCAACTTTGGAACTCCCTGAATAGGAAAAATGAGCGCAGGGTAAAGTTCCCACCAGAGACTGAGGTAAAGAAAGGTTGAAGTTTGGTTTTAAAGCTTTTGAGCTCCGTGGCCCACTAGAAGGAAACAGCTTTAATAATCTGCTTTGCCTTTCTCATAACGATGGAGCAGGTACAATAGAAAGCAGGCCAGCTGTGAGCGTTGGAACAGAAAATGGTGATCTACCTTGGCGTGCTGAAAGGTAATGCTGCCACAGTTACAATAAGTGGCCAGAAAGCGCTCTCTCTGGCTCTCTCCGCAGTGACCATGCGGCTGTGTTTTCCAGCTTTGTTTTTCATTAATAGTGCTGATGGTCTGCATTCCCTCCTTTTGAAGTTCAGGTTCAAACACAGGGCCGCTATTGTGCGGGGTCGGCCGCTGCTGTGCAGGGCTGGGACCGTCTCTTTCTCTCCAGAAACATCTTGCTGTTTCCATTAGAATCTTGAGTCTGAGAAAATTCTATTTTGTCAGATTACGAATAAGGAGGTGGTGGAGCCATTTTTCTCCTCGCTGCTGCTGGACACGTTTGTCTGCAAACGCTATTCACCTAGAGTTTATGTTCAAAGTGTGGAGTGGGCAGCGTGCAGGGTGTGAGGAGGGGCGATGCCTGGGAGGGGCAGGTGTTGACCCTGGGAGCTTTGCCTTTGGTCTCTGGTACAGGGGATGCCTCAGTGCGGTGTTCTTATGTGAGCCTTCCTGTGTTCTGGGCCCATCCTTTGCCAGGGCCTTATTGTCACACACCTGTAACTACCTGTAACAATTGTAGGGTGCTGCCGTTATCCCCAGGAGTCCACTTTTCTTCCCCCTTCCCTCCCCTCCCCATCTCAGAGTGGGCATTTGGAGACCAACCTCTAAACTTGGCTCTGTTCAGTGGTTTTTTGTTTTTGTGTTTTTGGTTTTTTATTAATTTCAGAGAGCAAGGGAGAGGGAGAGAGAAACATCAATGATTGAGAGAGGATCATTGATTGGCTGTCTCTGCACTCCCCCTACTGGGGATTGAGCCTGCAACCTGGGCATATGCCCAGAATCTAATCCGGGACCCTTCAGGCCGCAGGCTGACACTCTGTCCACTGACCCAAACCGGCTAGGGCATTCTGTTGAGTGTTTGGAGACCATTCTTTGAACTTAGAGAAAATTCGCTGCTTTCATGTAACGGGCCAAGTCTGGTATTAAAAGCTCCCACGTAGGTGGGTCCTGGTGATGAGAAAGGGAAAGCCCTAGGAAGCAATTTCAGGGTAGAATGTGGAGGAGAAAGTGGTAGTCAGGTCCCCCAAAGCCGCATGTCACTGTTTAGGTCGGGCACAGGGCTTTTAGTTTGGTGAGAAACGATTGTGCAAGTTGCCACGTGCCCGGGTCTCGCTGTTTGCAGTCCTGCTGGTGCGCGCCATTCAGCAAACACACTGAAATGTTCAGCTAGCTGCTCCAGAGCGGGCAGAGCCTGCGTGGGTCCCTCTCTGGCCGTGAGGGTGGCACGGGGGTGTAGGATGGTCTGTCCTGGAGAACCCTCTCCCCAATGCACCCTCCAGGGGTGACAGTTCTGAATAAATGCAGATATCACCTGCTAAGAGGGAATGGTTTGAAGGACCTCAGATTGTGAATCTTACGAAATGTTGAGTTCTGGCTTCCTAGCCAGCTGCTGACCTGCACTGACATGTTTCTGATCAGATGCCATCAGTTTTGCCCTGAGAGTTTGTTCCCCGGGTTTGTGGTGCTCTGAGAACAGAACAAGGAGTATGGGTTTCTTTCCCGTTTTCTCCTCTTTCCTGGGGTTGCCCTGAGGGTAGCTGGGGGCCACTCTGGGACGCCTAGCCTGCCAGGGACTTCCTGTCCCCTGGCGAGCTGAGCAAAGCGGGAGGCATTCCCCCTGACACGTTGCCCAGTGAAACCTCCTTCACCTTTCCAGGTAAACTTGATTTTTCCCCAGGGGATTTTACTTGGCGGCAGCTCCCGCACTGAGGTTCAGCTGCAGCACCTGACAGTGACTAAGTGCACCCGAGTATTGGTGGGAAATAAGGTAGCCAAAGGGGAGCATGGAGAAGCCTTGCACGTTGTATTCACAGACTTAGGCATTGCGCTTTTTCAAAAATGTGAAAGTGTAGAACACGGTTTTAAACTTGCCATAACCGTGAGAACAGAGAACCCCGTATGATCCTTGTCCCGAGGGTTGGAACATGTACCCTTCCGGACAAGTGTGTCGCTGGGACGTTGGCACGCAGGAATGTACGACTGCATCCGAATCACCTGTGGCTCTTAAAATCCAGGGCTGTCTCTTGGCCCCTCCCTGGAGAGTCCGACTCAGTGGGGGTGAGGTGGGTTGGGGAAATTCAGGGTCCTAGTAAGCTGTTTTCACGGGTGTTTCTGACGTGTGGCCAGATTTGAGAATCCCTCAGCTAGAAGCTTTTGGGTTCTTTCCAGAGCTGAGATTTCATCAAGAACATATTCTCATGAATGAGCAAGTCAGGGAGAATAAATGGTTTTGCTTCCGTTTTATCTCTGTCTCTCCCTTTTTTTGGTTTTACCTCTTGAAGGAACTTGAGAGTTTTATTTTTTAACCATGGAATTGAGGACCTTTGCCTGAATCAATCAAGGTAGAGTTTCAGAGTTGGAGATTAAGTCTTATACCTCCTAAAAAAAAAAGACCTTAGTTAGGACTATAAGATTAGCAAGTACTACACTCTCTGACTACTTATAAGTGAGAGTCAAGGGCAGTTATTTATTTATTTTTATCACCTGAATAATAAATGGTTCAGGTATGTGTGTTTTTATCTGTGCTTTTTCTCAACTTCCCTCTTGACACTGTAACAAACACACACACACACACATTGCTCTTTGAAAGACTGTGCAGTCTGCCCGGCCAGTGTGGCTCCATGGTTGAGCGTTGACCTATGAACCAGGACAAGCATGTCAAACTTGCGGTCTTCCGGCTGCAAGTTTGACATGTTTGAACCAGGAAGTCACGGTTCAATTCCCGGTCAAGGCACATCCCCAGGTTGCAGGCTCCATCCCCAGTGTGGGGCATGCAGGAGGCAGCCGATCAATGATTCTCTCTCATCATTGATATTTCTCTCTCCCTCTCCCTTTCTTCCTGAAATCAATAAAAATATTTTTTTCTTTTAAAAGAGAAAGACTAGTCTGATGTTGATGAGCAAGTTCCTAAAACTCAGGGTACTGTTGGATGGTGGGACATGCAAAAACGGGATGAGGTGTGTAAGAGTGGTCTCTGGGGCAGGTGATGATCCTGTTTCCTCCCTGAGCTGGTTCTTCTGGGTCCACGGGCCTCATGGATGTATCTACCCAGTCTCTCCCCGCATTAACGGTTCAGAAAACATTGCATTCTCCTGGGCAGGGCTTTGTGGTACCTGGGTGAGTATGAGGTTCTTATTCGTGGATGTACTGCCTACATATCTGACCAACAAGAAACTGTTCTCAGCACCTCCCCTGTTGAGCGGAAGAGGCTTTGGGATTTCCCTTTGAAATCACTTTAGCTGCAGGATAATTCTCTGCAGTAAATAACATAGGATATTGGCACACTGACCTCCTATTTGAAAGTCATGAGTTTTGCTTCTTTCACAAATAGTGATGGGTTATTTGGATTATTCCATATTCTCTCACAGAGCCCTTGGTCATCTTAATGTTCTTCTTAAACCTTGGCAAGGTGATGGCAGGTTTTAGATATTATAGAAAATTCCACGGCCTTCCCAATGGACATTTTTTGGTACTTGACACAGACGATGGATATGTATATTTTAAAGCCTAATACAATTTTTGTTTTGATGATACTGTGCTTATTAGGCAGGCAGGCCTTTTGTTTTTACAGATTTTGGCTTCAGGCACCCTTAACGTGTTTTGTTCTTATTCCCACCCTTGTCATTTTTCACTTAACTTGCTGCTTCCCAATGAGTACACCTCACTGTCCCTGGAACAGTTTATCCCTTGCCTACATTTGTTTCTGCACCAGCTTGAAGTTTCCTGATGTAGGGGTCTACTTAGGCTGTTCCTGTGGAATGCTTCCATGTTAGTAGGCCTTCAGGATCTCATTACTTACAGTTTCCGGGACTTCGAGCACCCTCTGCTTATTATTCAATAGAATTAGCTGGTGATGTCCAAGGTTAAAATAAAACATGAGATCTGGTTCTTGCCTTTTAGGAACTTACATTCCAGGG